ATATCCCCCATGTGAGGCAGCTAGCTAGAAAGAGAGGGAAAGATTTTTAGAGAAAGAAAGTAGGATTTTAGTGACTTAAATCCATTTTCTACTATAGGCCTAGTTTGGGAAATTATCTGAATAGAGATAGGTTATATTTTTTTCCTATCTCAAATTTTAAAAATAAGAATATTTTAGGATTTTTTTCTAGTTAAAAATAAAACTTTGTAGTTTAAAAATAGGGACAACTTTACATCCCTTAAAATTTTATCGTGCAATGTTCTGTATGTTGTAGATGTGATCATTCTAAATGTTTTAATATTTTTCTAAAACTTTTTATCATGTGAATATAAAAGTGTTCGATTTCTGGTGAAAAAAAAATAATAATTCTGATCTTAGAAATAATGTTGTAAAATATTTGAAGGTTCAAAACAGTGTTCTAAACAATCTCTGATAATTTGGTGAAATTTTGAAAACCTAAAATTTTGCTAAGTGTTTCAAATTGTTAGCTATATATAGAGCACTCTATAAATTTCTTCAACTTGATTTATTTATATTTTTTATTGCAATGCAATTATATATTTTTTTATTTGTTTGAAATGTGAAATTAAAAAGATATTTGATGTTAGAAAAAGTTTTATTATGTTGAATGTATTTGGAGTCATAAGGATTTTATTTTATATGCTATCATAGTGAATCACAATGGTCTGAATTTTGATATTTGTTTCTAATGGAAGGTATAATGGCCTATGAGAAATCAATTCTTTTTTTTTTTGCTTTTATATATGAAATGCTTATTTATTCACATTCAATGGAAACTTTATTAAATTTTTTAGTTGTTTGAAAGCTTTTTTCTATTCGGTATAACTTTTAAATTTAGTAAAATGTAAAATGGATTAATTATGGAAATTTAGATCAGTGGATGTGATCTAGTGAATGTTATTGCCTCACACCTATTATGTATTCTATTTTTTGTCAGGAAAAGGGAAAATAGTCAGTTGAGTAGCTGAAATTACATGTTCTGATATGTTTAAATATGTATAGGCATTTTAAATTTTTGTACTAACATGGATTCTTATTTCTTTGTCTTATTTTGGTCTATAGTTATGTAGAGTAGTATGTAGATTTTGTTGTATATAAACTTTGAAGATGAAAGAAATAAAAAGAATTTGAGGATAAGTTTACTTTCTATGCTCATTAGAAGTTAATTAATTTTAAATTAATGAAATCTAAAAAGCTTTCAAAACTTAGATCTTGGGGTTAATAAGACACAATTCAACATGATATGGCTTGTCTTGTCTTCGGGTCATATTTGGTTAGGTTGTGACCCCTACTATATTGAAATAAGGTTTGAAACTCTCGTTTAAGAGTGATGAAAACTGCTAAATAATGAGCTGCTCAACCACTCATCTTTTCAATATGTTCTTTCTCCGATAATCACAAAGCACATTTGATACCTGTGATTAATCAATAATAAAATTTCATAGTAACAATATCTACTTTTTAGTTATCATGTATTAAGGTTGAAGCATTATTCACACTCAAAATCTAAACTAAAAAATAATATTAGATATTATATTGCTTTCTACAAACATATTCGAAGCTTCTTCTAACTTTCCAACAAGTAGAAGAAGGTTGAACATACCCTTCTTGTATTCATAGATTACCTATCATAGCCCATTAAAAAAAATTCAAATAATTTTTAAACTAAATCAATAATTAATTTTAAATTATTTAATATTTTAGCCTATTTAAATATGATTTTAATAAGATATGAAAAAATTAGAATAAATTTCGAACAATGCTTAACTATGATTTAAATTTGCTCAAAAAAGATTTCAATATGGTTCAAATAAGATTGAGATATAGATTGAGCAGGTTTCAGAAATTGTTGGAAGAATGTTCAAATAAGGTTTGATCATGCTTCTAATAAGGCTGACATGGTTCAAGTAAGATATAAAATTAAAAAACTATATCTTTGATTCATTATATTGTAATCACAACATCTATAATACAAAATTTTGATATAACAAAGTATAATCAAGTAGTTATAAAAAAACTTTTAAAAAACATATTTTCTCAAAATAATTTACCAATTTTGATGATTAAACCCTCTATAGAATTAGTAGAACAAGCAGAATCTTTAAAATGAACAAAAAGTTAGAAAATTCCTAAATAAATCACATCATTTCCTAAAAATCTTGAAATCAAATTTAAATCACTCCACCAATCTTTTATATTAGAGGAAAAATATTTCAAACTAAATATAATTGTCTAATGTCCTTAATAATTCACTAAAGGAATTAACCATAGAGTTTAGAAAATTTTACTAAAATTTATTTTTTAAGTCCAAATAACAAGGTACATCCTCTTGCAAATGTCTAGTGAGAACATCCTTAACTAAAGCTAAAAGATATGGGCTTAAGGGTGATCCTTGATGTAACCCAACCGAAATAGGAAAATACTTGGTCAAACCACCTTGTGTTTGAACACAAGTAATAGCTCATGCATACATCTCTTTAATGATTTGAATATAAGTGTTATTAACTCCTTTCTTTTTAAGAACTCTCAATAGAACTTCTCTTGGAACTTTATCATAAGCTTTTTCTAAATCAATAAATATCATATGTGGATCCTCCTTATTTTCTCTAAATTTCTCCATCAAACCTCTTAATAAATGTATGGCTTCCATAGTCGACCTACCCAGCATAAATCCAAATTGATTTTGAGAAACATTAGTATCACGTTGCAACCTATGCTCCAAAACTCGCTCCCAAAGTTTTAAAGTATGACACATCTCTTTGTTTGACTAACTTATACATATATCTTTTTCTCTCCTTAGTATCTAATCTATTATATAAATTACTAAAAGCTAAGATCTTTGCATCATATATTACTTTCTTAGATTCCTTATGAGCCTCTTTATATCTTTTCCAATAATAAAAATTTTTAAAATTAAACTAATTTTTATAACAATTTTTTTTTAATCTCTTCTTGCACATTTGGATTCCACCATCAACTATTTTTACTATTAGGAGCTTTAACCTTTTATACTCCAATCACATCTTTTGCAGTATTCTTAATATCACTAGTAATTTTTTTTCACATAACATTAGTATCCTCATGCACATACAAAATATTAAGATCTAAAATATTACTCTCAAAAATATTTTTGTTAATATTCTTTAAATACCCCCATCTAATCCTAAAATATCATTTTACTTTATTTTTTATTTTTTGTCCCTTTATCATAAAGTCCAAAACTAATAATCGATATTGGGTACATAAATTTTCATTCGAAAGAACTTTATAATCTTTGCAATCTAAACGATCTAATTTTCTTATAAGAAAATAATCAATCTGAGTTGTATTATATCCATTTTTATAAGTGATGAGATGCTTATTCCTTTTCTTAAATAAGGTATTAGCAATTAAAAAATCATAAGCTAAACAAAAATCTAATATGGTCTTGCCACCTTCATTTGATGTTCCAAATTCATAGCCACCGTGAATGCTTTTAAAATCATATATCACTCTACCAACATGTTCATTTAAATCTCCTCCAACAAAAACTCATTCTTCAAGAGGTATCTTTTGAATTAATTCTTCTAAGTCATTTCAAAAATTTAATTTAGAACTCATATCCAAACCTACTTGAGAAGCATAAGCACCTATAATATTAATAATCTTAGCATTAACATTAATCTTTAAAGCTATAACTCTATCTCGAATCTTATTAATTTTTATAATATTATCCTTCAAGCTCTTATCTATAATAACACCTACACCATTTCTAGTACGACTCCTACCTGAATACTAAAGTTTAAATCATAAACTATCAATTTCCTTAGCCTTCTCTCCAAGCCATTTAGTTTCTTAAATGCACAGAATATTTAACTTCCTATGAATCATAATATCTATTAATTCTATTAATTTTTCTATAATATAACCTATATTTCAAGTTCATATCCTAATTTTAGTTTCATGTTTTTTAGTTTCATGGACTAACTTCTTTACCCACCCACATTCATCCTTGATGTGGGAACCCTTGCCTATTTAACACAGCACCTAGGTGTTGGTGCAGCGGCCCTTGCATATTTGTCATTATATTTATGCCATATAGTTCGTCGCTTCCATGGGACGCCCTAGCATTAACATAATTTTTTAAAGGATTTATGTCATTATTATTCGATAAGTTTTACACTGATTATCGATTACCTAAAGCAACTCTCCACTTTTCTCATCCAAAACTTGGGACCTAGCAACAAGTGTTAATATTCTTATATTCATTACCAAAAATTTATATACAATAACCCAGAGTTCAATTCTACAATATTCATCTATCATTAAGCAATTATGGCTACAAAAGAACTAATTCAAATTATAAAAAATAAATAAAACTAAACATGAAACTCCTGATTAACCTCACTCCATTTAGTCATAATCTCTTCCTGAAAAATATGTAAAAATCCAAATCAAATGCATGATATATATATATATATATATATATATATGCCAATAACTAGATCAAAGAGCCAATTTGTTCAATGCATTTTGAGTGTGATACATTCAAAATGCATGAATTCCAAAAATTCGAGTATCATTAGGTGATTTTCAAATATAATATAAATAAATGACTTTTAATTTTTATAGTAGAAAATTATTTTAAGAAGCAATAAGAAAGTTATTTCAAATGAAGCCTTAATCTATTTCTAAACACATTTTAAATTCTTTGCCAACACTACAAGCTACTACCTACTACCTCGGATGCCACTCGATCAACATTGTCGAATAGAAAATTTTTTATATTTATTGTACATTCAATAAAATAATATTACGTAGCTTATTTTGATTTGTTAGTTGGAAGCTTTTGCAATCAATCAAAAAAATTTAAATTTGAATCTTGCATATCTATGTGTGTGAGCTCGACTTTATTTACCTAAATTTATTTAAAAAAAAAAAACATTAATTTAAAAACACTGAAATTTACGCTGAATTTACATTATTAATCGAAGGATTATTTGAGAATTGAATCAGCAAGGCGGCCACCCAGGAGGGCTGGCTTGTAGCTCGATATGTATGGAACTTCGGAGATCATCGACGCCGCCGCTCCCGTCGACGCTGAGAGGACGGCCTTTCGAAGGACTGAGAAGTTGTACAAGCTCTACAAAACCCAAGCTCCCAAAAGTTGGTTTGTCTACAGTCCATATCCCTATCTCTCTTATCATTCCCCTCTACTTTCAAGCGCAGGCGGGTTTTAAGCTAACTTCTGTTCATCCCCAATCAGGAAAAAATCAGGCACATAGGAAGACAGATCTCTCTGGTGTTATTGATTTCCATTCCGTTCTCGAATCATTCAAACAATGTGGCACAACTCCTGCTGGTATCTTCAAGTACGAGTGCAGGAGCTTCAATCGACCAGTTTTCTGTTTCGAAGAACGCCCAGGTATGAATTAGGTTTTCCTCTCTTATTAGGGAAACCTTTTTCCTTATATCATATTCATGTTATTTGAGGCTTGCTGAATCTTAATTTGATAATTCTTGTTCAAGTATAATTTAAATCCTGATTGTGGGACTGTTTGATTGTCCCATATTTAAGTCCAACCAAATCTAAACTATTTGTTTGTTGTTTGGAAGATTTAATGGATTCAAAGAGATATAGTAATTAAATCCCGCTGAGTTAAGTTTTTAAATAGTAGTTTTTCCGGGATTTGAGCTAAGATTTACAAAGTCCTGCTAAATCCAAGATATAATTCCTCTTTGGCTACAAGTAGGATTTACTGAAATGTTAAAATTTGAAAGCTGCTTGGCATAATACATGTTATATATGGTTAAATCCTAGTTAAACGTTTGTATTATATATATATATATATATATATGAAGGAAGGAAAAAAAGAGAAATAATGATGAGAAGTGGTGTAAATATTCTATATCTTACTGCTCTAGGATTTATGAAATTTTTTATTTACCTTAGAACTAGATTTAAGAAGGCACTATGATTTATGTGGCTCAAAAAACCATTTGGAAAAATTTTGCTTTAGGGGGATTTAGTAAATCCTATAAATACAAATTTAGCAAATCTTGAGAGGGTTAAAAACTGAAAACAGTTTGGGATGACAACCATTAAATCTTGGCAAAACTTGATAAATTATTTGACTAATTTTCTCAATATTTAAGATTTGTGAGAGAGAGAAATACTTAAATTTGTGAAATCCTATGAATGGTTGTATTTAATAATCCTAAATTTAATCAATAACTGGATTGAAAAGGGATTATCAAAACAAAAGGATTTAAAGTTTCATAATTCTATTTGACAAGATTTAATCTAAATCCTGCCAAAAATAAGACATCAACATAAAACTTGGATAAATACTTGTAATTAAATAATCCTTCAAACTAGATTTCAAAACTTTTTATAAACCATTTTGCCAAATTATAACTTAAATCCCACCCAAATCTCACTTAAAATAGGTAACCAAACAGCTTCCATGTATGGTTTTGTTAGTTTTGCAGTTATTACATTGGCTTCTATTCTTGTAAATTCATGTAATTTGATAGACTAATCATACTATGCAGTCATAATTGAGAAATGGGATTAAAAAAGTGTTACCTTACATGTAGGGCGAGGTGAGCTTGATTTTTTAGGAAAAAAAACTTCTGTCCATTTTCCCCTTTTAGCATTCTTTTGAGAATGCTTGAAGCGTAACATTAAGTTAGTCATTGGGCTTATCTAATTTTCTACCATCCCTTCAATTGAAAAAATAATGTTAGATTAAGGATTTGGTTCATAGAATAGAAGCCCAACAGTTTGGCTTGGTTTAATTTCACTTTCGATCGATTATCTTGATTTATTTTTTTTATGATTGATTCCATTCGATTCAATCATGCCCCAAGTTGAAATCCACTTGTTTTGACCTTATGCCATTTAATAATAGTTAAAAAAAAGAAGAAATAACAATGAAGAGATTTCCTACGTGGGGTCAACTACATGAATCATTTTTCTTCATTGTGTCTTGTTAAGAGTCAAATTATCATTTAAATCTAATAAAGATAGGTCATTTCTAATATTTTCTAACCAACTTTTTTTAGATCTACTTCTGGCTTTTTTAACATAAGACAAATTTAATACATCTACTCTCCTGACTGGGTAGTTGGAAGGCCTCCGTTTTATGTGACCAAACCATCTAAGACAACTCTCTCTAATCTTTTATTTCACTGGAGCTACTTCAACCTTTTAATATATATGCTCGTTTCGTATCCTATCTCTAAGAGTAAAGCCACTGATCCACCCGAGCATCCTTATCTCTGCAACACTTAACTTATTTTTATGATTTTCTTTTAATGGCCAAGATTCTGCACCATAAAGCATTGTAGGTCTCACCACCATCTTATAGTTTGTGGGGGATTTTTCTATTACTCAACAAGCCCGATGCATTCCTCCACTTCAACCATCCAACTTGAATTCTACTAATAATATCCTCATCTAGTTCACCATCACTTTGAACAATAGACCCAAGATATCTAAAACGTGTACTCTTATTAATGACTTGAATGCCTAAAATCACAATCCCCTCACTAGATCTAAATAGAGAAAGGAATAGCTAGAAAAATCATTAGCTCATGCTCAATCATGGATTCATGATTCATGAAAATTATATAGATCACGGTAGATTTAAAATGAAGGGTTATGATCTTATCTTAGTGGAGTACTAGTTGCCTTTTTAATAGTAGCATATATAGTATGCTTGGGTGAGTCTACACAATTCCTATGAGTATGTTAAGTAGATTTCCAAAGAAAATGATAAAAGGGAGTAAGAGTAGGAATATTTAATTAGGATTGATTTTTGATAATGCTTGCTTGAATGTTATTGTTTTTATCCAAGTGATTCCAAAATGTGCCCCTATCGTGTTTTGATAAGTGTCCATGAAGCTCATGAATAAGAAGCATTGCAAAGTTTTTTTGTGTTTTACAAAAAGTGGCTTGCGCCAAAAGATGCATTCGGCATTTTGTCCTTTGGAAGTTTCTCCAATTGTATGCAAGGTTTCAGGTTAGGTTCGAAGAACCGTAGAAGTACATGTTTCATAGTTTTTTTTTTCCATTTATTTAGATATCACATGTTGCTATTCATGCACATATAATTGTTGGTCATAAGCGATGCAAAAATTATATATAGAAGAGTTTTACCATTGCACCACATTTTATTCTGCTAGAAACACATGCATAAGTATTTGTTCTGGTGGATCCATAAAGTAATGGAAGTGTTTTCCTGTTATTTAGAGTTTCAAATCTGTTTCTGCTGACCAGCAAGATGTATTTCTTGTTTTAGTTTAATGTAATTCTTTCTAAGCGTATCTTTTAGCTAACTTGTGTGGATTTTTCATAAAAATAAATTTCTTTAATTCAAAACCTTTGGCCATGGCTCAGGTTTTTATTTCATTCCTGGTGCACTGACTGATGATGAACAAGTGCACTGGATCAGGGAAAGCTTAATTAGCTTTCCTCAGCCTCCTAATAGAACTAATCACACAGAAGCATATGGTCCTATATTCGGTTTATTTGATGCTGTTCAAAATAACAAAGTTTTGGTTGAGGCAAAAAGTACATCTTCAGAAGTTGATCGTATATTGGGTTATGATAAAACTAATTTGAACTCCAAAAGGTTCTCATTTTCTGAATATTGTATGATCACAAATAATGACGAGTCCTACAAGTCAGTAGCTGCTTCAGTTCTTCTGCGGAAACTGCGTTGGAGCACCCTTGGATTGCAATTTGACTGGTCTAAGGTTTGCATTATTAATTTGATTTCTCTAAATCTGAATTTGTTTATGGATTGTAAATATACTAGTTAATTAGCTGATATGGATTCAACTGTGCAAGTTTCTTATGTATTTCTTGAGTTTTTTTCAATCAGTTCTTTCATGTTGTGATAGTGAATCTAGTCACGAGCTCCAATTTTTGCGACTCTTTTACGCCATAGATTATGAATAGGATATCAAAATTTAGTGTTCTAAAGTCTATACTATGAAAATTGTAAATCTTAATTGTTTTGCTTTCCTTTCATGTTGATGCTCTGAATATCCACCAAGCTTAAAGTAATAATACATATGATGACAATGCATAATTTAACATCTTTATCATCTATATAAGAAAAGAAAATGGATTTTTCTATGTGTACCTAGTGTAAAACTTAAACAAATACTCCATCTGAACTTGAATGGACACTGGTTACTCTTAAGTTTTTCTCTTGGCAACAATTTCACAGTTTCATGATGCCACTGATGCAAACAAATTTTTGTCAGGCAAAATTTTGCTCCCTTATAACTTTATAAAACCATCAGTCATAATAATAAAGTTATGTTGGATTAGCTTGCATAGTGTCCGCTAATTTTAAGAGGCTGTAGGATAAAGGTGAATGCAAAGTTCTTTAGCTTTATGATTAGTTGAATAAGATTAATACCCCGTTATTTTTACAAAAACAATACACAAAACATTTTATAAGTGCTCTCTCCTTGCATGTTTCTTATGTATTTATTATTGTGTTTTTTCAATAAGTTCTTTTATGTTGTGATAGTGAGTCTAGTCACGAGTTCCAATTTTTTGCGACTCTTTTGCACCATAGTATATGCATAGGATATAAAAAATTAGCCGTTCTAATGTTAATACTATACAACAACAAGCCTTTTCCCACTACGTGGGGTTGGCTACATTAATCCTTTTTTGCTATTGTGTATGGTTAAAAGTCAAATTCTTATTTAAATCTAATAAAGAAAGATCATTTCTAATATTTTCTAACCAAGTCTTTTTAGGTCTACCTCCACCTTTCTTAACATAAGTCAAATCTAATACCTCAACTTTCCTAACCAGGTCATCGGAATGCCTCCGTTTAATGTGACCAAACCATCTAAGGCGACTCTCTCTAATCTTATCTTCCACTGGAGCTACTCCAACCTTTTCACATATATGCTTATTTCGTATCCTATCTCTAAGGGTCAAGCCACTCATCCACCTAAGCATCCTCATTTCTGCAACACTTAACTTAATATTATGCTTCTCTTTTAATGGCCAACATTCGGCACCATAAAGCATTGCAGGTCTCACCACCATATTATAGAATTTTCCCTTAAGTTTGAGTGAGACTTTTCTATCGCACAATAAGCCCGATGCAATCCTCCACTTCAACCATCCAACTTGAATTCTGCTGATAATATCACCATCAATTTCACCATCACTCTGAACAATAGATCCAAGATATCTAAAATGTGTACTCTTATTAATTGCTTGATCGCCCAAAGTCACAATCCCCTCACTAGGTCTATTGCTACTAAAATTACACTCCATAGATTCAGTTTTAGATCTACTCAAGCGAAAACCTTTAGACTCTAAAGTTGATCTCCATAATTCAAGTTTACCTTCAACTCCCTCTCTAGTCTTATCAACAAGAAGAATATCATCAGAAAAAAACATACACAAAGGTACATCCTCTTGCAAATGTCTAGTGAGAACATCTATGACTAAAGAAAAAAGATATAGACTTAAGGCTGATCCTTGATGTAATCCAACTGAAATAAGGAAAATACTTGGTCAAACCACCTTGTGTTTGAAAACAAGTAATAGCTCCTACATACATATCTTTAATGATTTGAATATAAGCATTATTAACTCCTTTCTTTTCAAGAACTCTCCATAACACTTCTCTCGGAACTTTTATGCTTTCTCTAAATCAATAAATATCATATGTAAATCCTCCTTATTCTCTCTATATTTCTCCATCAAACCTCTCAATAAATATATGGCTTCCATAGTAGACCTACCCGACATGAATCCAAATTGATTTTGAGAAACATTAGTATTACGCTGCAACCTACGCCCCATAACTCGCTCCCATAGTTTTAAAGAATAACACATTAACTTGATTCTTCTATAATTCACACACTCTTGTATATCACCTTTATTCTTAAAAATAAGAATCAACATACTCATTCTCCACTGATCTGTCATCATTTTAGTCTTCAAAACAATATTAAAAAGTTTAGTAAGCTAAAAAATTCCTTCGTCTCCTAAGCATTTCCACATCTCTATTGGAATATCATCAGGTCGAACAACTTTTCAACACTTCATTTTCTTCAAAGCTTCTTTAACTTTGGTTTTACTTATATGCCGATAAAAACAAAAAATTTTATTTTCATTTAGGGTGATAAAGTCACTAAAGTCAGTCGTATTTTTACATTCCTCTTTAAAAAGTTTAGCAAAATACCTCATCCACCTTTGTTGAATATCATCTTCTAAAAAAAGTATTTTTTGATCTTCTTCCTTAATACACTTCACTTGAATTAAATCCTTACTACTCCTATATCTTTATTTGGCTAACTTATACATATATCTTTCTCTCTCCTTAGTATCTATCTATTTTATAAATAATTAAAAGCTAAGTTCTTTGCATCGCAAATAGCTTTCTTAGATTCATTACGAGCCTCTTTATAGATTTCTCAATTATTAAAATTTTTACATGTAAATCCATTTTTATAACAAATATTCTTATTTTTTATCTTTTCTTGTACATTAGATTCCACCACCAACTATTTTTACTATTAGGAGCTTTTCCCTTTAAAATTCCAAGCACATCTTTTGCAATATTCTTAATATCACATGCCATTTTTTCCCACATAATATTGGCATTCTCATGCACAGACAGAATCTTAAGATTTAAAATTTCACTATAAAAATATTTTTGTTAATATTCTTTAAATACCCACCATCTAATTTTAGAATATCATTTTACTTTATTTTTTATTTTGTCCCTTTATCTTAAAGTCCAAAACTAATAATCGATGTTAGGTGCATAAATTTTCACTCGTAATAACTTTACAATCTTTGCAATCTAAACGATTTAATTTTCTTATACGAAAATAATTAATCTGCGTTTTATTATATCCATTTTTATAAGTGATAGGATGCTCATCTCTTTCCTTAAATAAGGTATTAGCTATTAACAAATCATAAGCTAAAGAAAAATCTAATATAGTCTTACCACCTTCATTTGTAGTTCCAAATTCATGACCACCATGGATGCTTTTAAAATACACCTCTCTACCAACATGTCCATTTAAATCTTATCCAATAAAAATTTTTTCTTCAAGAGGTATCTTTTTGTATTAATTATTTTAAGTCATTTCAAAATTTTAATTTTAAACTCATATCCAAACCTATTTGAGGAGCATAAACACTTATAATATTAACAATATTAGCATTAACAATAATATTTATAGCTATAATTCTATCTCCAATTCTATTTAATTTTTATAACATTATCCTTCAAACTCTTATCTATAATCACACATACACCATTTTTAGTATGACTCCTACCCGAATACCATAGTTTATATCCTAAACTATTAATCTCCTTTGATTTCTCTCAAACCCATTTAATTTCCTGAATGCACAGAATATTTATCTTCCTATGAATCATAATATATATTAATTCAATTAGTTTTCCTGTAAGGGAGCTTATATTCCAAGTTCCTATTCTAATTTTAGTTTCATGGACTAACTTCTTTGCCCACATCCATCCTTGATGTGGGAACCCTTGCCTATTTAACACTGCACCCGGGCGTCGGTGCAGCGACCCTTGCACACTTGTCATTGTATTCAGGCCATACAATGCATCGCTTCCAGGGGATGCCCTAGCATTAACACAATTTTTTTAAAGGATTCATGTCATGATTATTCGACAAATTTTACGCTGGTTGTTGACTACCTAATGTTACCCTCCACTTTTCTCCTCCAGGACTTGAGACCTGGCAACGACAGTGTTCTAATGTTAATACTACGAAAATTGTAAATCTTCTTGTTGTGCTTTCCTTTCATGTTGATGTTCTGAATATCCACCAAGCTTCAAGTAATAATTACATATGTTGGCTGGACATAATTTAGCATCTTTATCGTCTATTGCCATTATGCGTAATTACTATCAATATAAGAAAAGAAAAAGGATTTTTCTACGCTATTCTTACTTAAGTTTTTTTTTTCTTGGCAACAATTTGTTAGACCGGTCCATTAGACAGGTCCAGTCGGTCCACACGGGACCGGCCGACGCGAATAGAGGCAGAACTTCTCTGCCTCTCCCGCAGTGGCCGATTAAGCCGCAAGTTTTCGGGAACCGAATAGGAAAGATTTTTGGGGAAATTAAGAGAGAAATTTGAATGTAGGGACTATTTAGAGATTTCCTTTTGATTTGTATGCATTAAATAGTTTGTTTTCCTAGGGTTAGGGGATCTTGAATTTGGTTGATTTTGGAATCTCTTAGGTTTAGGTTTTGGGCTCTAGATTCGTCTAGAGATTGGGAGAGATCGATCCTCTTCTTGAATAAAGGATCACTTATATCTTGTTGTTTTCTTCCGATCTATTTGATTCTTGCAATAAAATTACTATTTTTTGTTTTCTTTTTGGAGTTTGGAAGAGTTTCTCGCTGATTTTTTTTTTTTAAATTGATAGGATTTACTTAAAATCTTCAAGTGTTTCTTATCAAATTGGTATCAGAGCAAGTCTTGGGTCCATCGGGGGCTGATTTCCTGTAATTTCAGCGGCAAATTTACATCCGAGGAAGGAACGTTTTCTGATTTTTGGAGCAAAATCCGAATTTTTAATGGCGGCCAAGAAGGTAGACGTGTTGGAGGAATGTTTGGAAGGGGAGATGAATCAAATAAAGACAACGGTGGAGGACATAATTTCCTCCATGGGGCAAGTAGCTGATTTACGGGATTTGATGAAGAAGATGTTGGAAATC